ATGGGGAAGGTGTATCCACTCTAGGATTCCAGAATTTTGAAATAATGCCCCAGTAGGAGAAACAGGAGTATCTAATATGACTTCTTGTACTTCTTCATTGGGGTTGATTCGAGTAAGCTGAGCCTCAGAAATTTTTGATTCTACTAATTGGAGTCATTTTTTTGCTTCAGAAGTGAGATGGGGGGGTAAGGGAAGGGTGTCCCTTAAGGGTAGCAAAAAGGTTAAGATAGCTGTTCAGTCGTTATGGATAAGGAAGGTCGGAGTCAACTGATGTCTCTTAAGCAAGGGAATAATTCCCTGTTGAGAAACAGGGTGTCGAGATAGAAAAATTTTCCCATAAAGGAGTGGCCGGTACAAAAAGGGGTGACAAAGACGTCTGAGGTGGTCACATTAGGGAGGGGGTTTCTTAGAAAAAAACTGCCTTAAACAAAAGAAGTTCTAACTTTAACCTCACTGAATAGATACACAATTTTGTTCCACAAACTTATCTTTCTCTAATTATACTTCAGAAATTGAATCTTTTACATATGATAAATTCAAACACTGATTTTACACTTACTTAGGCCATAGGATGACTACAAATTCAGAGGAAAAACAGCAAGATCTCACATACTTACATTGTGCTCATGTCTTTTACTGACCACTTGCTCTGATCAGAGAAATCTATTATAAAAGGAAAAGGCAGGGACATGTGACATACTGAATATGACAAGATAAAACATCCTTAACTCTGTTGGAATTCAGGTAAGAGTCACAGTTCTCCAATCAGGCAGTATCAATTTCATATCATAGCCAGACTCAGGAATAGTCAGGTGGGAAACATTCCTTCTCAAAGGAACATAATGGGGAAACTGAGCCAGGAGGATCCCATCCTAGATTGAGGCTAGGATTGTCCTCATGGCCTTTTCCCAGATGCAGACCTCTATCTGTTAACAGTACAGTATCACATTCCCTCTGAGTAGCTTGTGGCATTTCTCTCAGGTACTGATTTAATGTAGACAACTATACCTAAATTCAAACTCAAAACAAAATTAGTTATGGTCCCAAGAGCCTTTTACTTCAAACAGCAAGTTTCACTATTCACAACTTAAAGCTAGATACAGTTAATTTTGCTCCCATGGAGTTGCAATAAGCAATAAAGATTTACGAGGACTCACATACATAAGACATTTCACTTTACATCTTTCCTTCTCAAATTTACACTTGTCCTGGTATAAAAGCCAATCATTAGAAATCGTTTTTATACACTTGCAAAATCTCAGCAAGCTAAGTTCCTTGTTTAGGAACTCCATAACCCAAACAAGTTCTTTTCTCAGGGCAGATGACCTTGCCCACACAGATGGTTTCCAGGGACCTTGGCAAGTTTACAAAATAAGGAGAATTGCCTTGTACCCCAGGGAGGGCCTGATCTTGGTGCCCCTGCCTTCAGACCCCCATATCCCAAGGAGGACTGTTTTGAATGGGCAAAACCAAGTTGGATAAGGCTTTTACCCAATCCTCTCCTTTTGTCACAGTAATCAATTAACAATTCTAGGTTTTAACATTAAAATGGTAATTTCAAACAACTTAGTTAACAATCTTATAGCTTTCATAAGTGATAGTCAAATTGTTTTAGCTGTAAGTCCTTCTTTAATTACAGGTAAAGGTGGAAATACCTGATTTTCTAAATAGCCGTTATCAAACATTATAATACAGGGCTAGCAAGGCTGACAAGGTAATATAATTGGTTTTACACAATTTTTTCACTGTCCTTTAGTTTTTTTAAGTTCACACTTTAATAACATCCATATTATGAAAGGCTACTTGACATAACAATAGAAAGCTTTACAAATTTGCAGCAATACTAGGTGTTTAAAATTTAAACAAACATATTACCAATCAGGTGACTCCAGTTCTGTTGAATGCATTTCCAAATTTCCTTACATAGAAAATCGGGCATCTCTTCGCCATTGACATTGCATACTAGTCACATCTAATTAAGGAACTAATGATAATAGTTAACATTTATAAGGTCTGCCCTCTGCCAAGCATTGTGTTAGGCACTTTCCAATCATGTGAGATAATCTGAGGTAACTTGCTTAATGTCACTCAGTTAACAAATTTCAGATCCATACATTTCCCCAATTTACCTTAGTGCCAAACAGTATAATAAATTCTGACTTAATCATTAAGTTAAGAACATCACATTTCATTTAAAATATTACCAGAATGAATTAAATTACCTTTTGGTTGTGTTCCGGTACACAAAAACTTTTCTCTTTTATGTGAGGCAGAACAGATTAAGTGCTACCTCTATTTTTGAACTGAGAGGAAAAAGTTCCCCCTTTCTTTCTTGTCTTTCCCTCCACATTCAAAACTTGGCCAGAGTTAGAATGTAGAGAAAGAGAGAGAATTTATTTTTTCCAACAAGTCCTCAAAAGTTTCAAAACCTTTTACATGCAAAAACTTTGTTCACACTGTTTGTGCAAATAGATTATGCTTTTCTTTTTACCCATACTTCTTTCATTTCTATATGCTTAAACTTTTTTACCTTTCCTTCTGATAGACTTTGACTAAAGTCCCCTTAAAACTGCACATATCCTATTTCTTTTTAATTTTGACCTGATACTTCAAGGATCCTTCTTGACTTGTCTTTTACCAATCATATAACTTAAATAATAAAGTATTTTTCTTTCTTTCTCTCTCCCATCCACCTGCTCCCTTGAGGCTGCTGTAATCAGGGAGGGAAAAGGGGGGGAAAGAAAGAATGCAGCATTCCAGAGTCCAGCTGCAGCCTTGGAACCCAGAATGCTATTCTTGCTACCTGGCTACAAAGGGTGTCAAATTACACGCAGGACACTCATTCATACCACATAGACAAACACAGAACAGATACATAATAATGACAGGGAAAATCAAAAAGTAGACTAAATTGATGTTACTTGAGAGTTCACATCAATAAAAGCACTTGCCTAGTTAACGTTTCAAAGGAAATATATACAGTTATCATAATAATTCATTTTCCAAAACAAGAAATCCCCACTTTCAGGACACGTTTAAGCAATGGTACACCAGTCAAAAGTACAAAGAACAATAATTGCAATATTATCTAATAAAGTCATGACATAAGGAACAGCAGGGCCCTAAGCCGAAGCCACCTGTTTAAGTTCGTTTAATATTTTGAAATTTAAGGTTTCATGTTGTCTTATAATATTATAAAGGACCTCAAGGACAGGAAGAGCTTAAAGAAACACAGATGGTACTGTTTCAGATTTTAATGCTCCAAGGATGGCTCTCTGAACTGCAGTACAAGTAGAATTTACAGAGGGTGAAGGAGTAGCCATTGTAGCAACTGGAGCAGAGGCCTTTTTAAACATATTATCAGGAAAAGGGTCTGGTGGAGGTGGAGGGGGAAGGGGAGGCTTCTCAGCCTTGGTGGCAACGGCAACATCATGTTTAATGATTCTAGCTACCATCAGGACTTCTGCATCAGGAGTTAAACAAATTTTCAATATATTCCACGCGGAAAAAAAAATGTATAGGAAAATTCTCAGGGTAACAATGTTCAACCCATTGGAGAAAATTTTCTAATTGTTCTTTGGTAATAAGAAACCCTCTATCTTTCACAATCCTTTTCAAAACTTGCAGATATTGCTCTCGATCTTTAAAGGGTATCTGACCCATCTTAAAAGAGAAAAGTAGATAGATCCCCAGATTAGCCTAGTTAGATGCTGTCAAAGATCCCCTTACCTTCCTTTTCCTTTGACTTTGACTTTGATAATTGGAGCTCCTTTAGGTAAGGGCCGCTTCATATAGTTTTTCTCAATGCCCCTGTTGGGGGGCTCCAGTGGCTGGTGAACAAGCAGTTAAGGAAAATTAAAGAGAAACAAAAGCTACGCTAGGAGAATCAAAGGTGATTAGCCACAGGACTGTTTATTTCTAGTAAGGTTTGAATTTTTATACATAAAAGTGAAATGATGATTTACAATATCCCAAGAGGAAGAGCTAAAGATACAAAGTTCTCACTAGATAAGAAGCACCAGAGGAGCATCACTTCAGGGTGAAGGTTAATTCTCTATTCTAAGACTTCTTTGTTTACTTGTGACTATGCTCTTTCCCAAGGGACCCAGCAAATGTTTACTCAGCAGCAAAGCAAGTCCAGGGTACAGTCAAGGACAGATGATCCAGAGAAGGCCTTTGCCTTTACCCATACTGACCCCCAATAGTTAGAGATTTTCCAGGTAGATCCCATCCCCAACACTGTTCCACATAATGAAACTAATTAATTAAATGGATGCCTGATTACTGGCACTTTGTCTCTGGTCTGCTGTTTCTTCATTCTCAGGATAGAGACTGGTTCAGTAAAATTTTGTTAACAATTTGTGTATATAAATATATATGTATATATATATATATATACACATATATACATATATAAAGAACAGTTTAAAAGGTTATTAGGTGAACATATAAAGAACAGTTTAAAAGGTTGCTATGTGAAAGAGACCTGAGACTTAACCCTTTGGGTTCCAGGGAATTAAACTAGATCAAATGGATAGAAGTTACATATTCAAAATGATATAGTGAATGCAAAAAGGGAAGGGGAGATGAATCACCTTTGTCCTTGTATTTTGATGTGTAAAGAAGTGAAACAGGCTGCCTTAAGACTTACTGGGTTCTCCTCCACTTAAGGATTCTGGATGAGGTATAATTTCTAGGATGAACATTTGTGGAAGTACAGATAATGCTAGATTCTGTGAAATAATAGCCATTCATATATTCAAACCATTCTCTATCTCAATCTTTTCTTTGGCTTCTTTCCTACTCCATGATTTTCTCTTAACCCAAATGTGAAGGATTTGAAAGTAAGTGCTAACTTTGAGACTAATGCCATTATTATCTCCATAATAATTATAACAACATTAATTTTCTAATACATACTCTGCCCTTATCCTCTGTTCCTCAGTTTCACTTATGTTTTGCTTCTCATGATCCATTTCTAATTCTCTCCAACAGGAATCATGGTGAGCACTGACAAGAATCAGAGTAGTGTGGTCATGTTCATCTTCTTGGGATTTTCTGATTATCCAGAGCTCCAGGTGCCCCTCTTTGTATTGTTCCTCATCATTTATGCAGTCACTGTGGTGGGGAATGTGGGCATGATTGCGATCATCAAGATCAGCCCCAAACTCCACACCCCCATGTACTTTTTCCTCAGCCACTTGTCCTTTGTGGATTTCTGTTATTCCACTATAGGTACACCAAAATTACTAGAAAACTTAGTTGTAGAAGACAGAAGCATCTCCATCAAAAGCTGCATCACACAGTATTCTATTGGTGTCACCTGTGTGATAACAGACATGATTATGTTGGCAGTGATGGCGTATGACCGCTTTGTCGCTATATGTTATCCTTTGCTTTATACGGTTTTCATGTCCCCAAAACTCTGTGCCCTGCTAGTGGCTGTGGCATATTCATGGGCCACAATTTCTTCTATTGTACTCACATACTCACTTCTTGTATTATCATTTTGTGAGACCAAAATCATTAATAACTTTGTATGTGAATATTCTGTCTTCCTCTCTGCTGCCTGCTCTGATAAACATTTCAGTGAGTTAATAAGTTCTGTCTTTGCAAATCTCAATGTATTTTGCACCCTCATCATTATCCTTATATCCTACATTTTTATTTTTGTCACAATCTACAAAATGCATTCAGCCAGTGGAAGATACAAAGCTTTCTCAACTTGTGCCTCCCACTTGACAGTTGTTACCATTTTCTATGGGACCATCTTCTTTCTCTATTGTATTCCCAGTTCCAAAAACTCGTGGCTTGCAATCAAAGTGGGATCTGTTTTTTACACTGTGGTTATTCCTATGCTAAATCCTTTGATATACAGTCTAAGGAACAATGATGTGAAGGAAACCTTGAGGAAATTGATGGATCTCAAAATCATTTCTCAATAATATCTTTTTTTATGGATTCTATGACTACTGGTTGAACTATTCTGGTGGAATTTATGGTGATGTTTAATTAATTCTCTGAGTCCTGTTCAGTTACTGTTTCTCTAGTAGTCACACCTTCAGTTTCTACAGTCATCTGAAAGGCAGTCATGAAAATCCTTAGGTAAATAAAGAAAGAATATTTGAAATGAGAAGAAATCACTGCCAAAAAATCATTACGATGTACTCCATGATGTAGCATCGAGTTCAGAACCTTTCATTAAACCTCCTTTACAATTTTGTAAAAATAAATACACTGATTCTACCAAGGTGATTGCTTGCTTGTTTTCATTTGTTTTCAATTGTCACATTTCCACTACTTCATAGAAAAGATAGAAACAAAAATCTAAGATGTGAGCTGATGGTGATGTGATCACCATCAGATGGTTTTTGGAGGCCTGTCAGAAACAAACACCATGAAGAATGATGATATTCAGTGTTGGTAGAGAATAATACTCACCAACACCAGGAGCAACTCATTGGGGTAATAGAATTCCTATAAAGCCAAGTTTAGTCCTACAAAGTGCCTAGTGTAATTCTTGTAATATACTGAGGGCTTAATAAATGTTGATTGATTCATTCATTTGTAAAGTGAAAACAAAGATTGCCAGATCTCTCCTTTTTCAACATGACCAATTCTATCTTAGAAATTGGCTTTCAGGGGGCAGCTAGGTGGCAGAGTGGATAGAGCACCGGCTCTGAATTTAGGAGTACCTGAGTTCTAATCTGGTCTCAGATGCATAACACTCACTAATTGTGTGCCTCTGTGCAAGTCACTTGACCCAAAAAGTCTCACCAAAAAAAAAAAAAAGAAATTGGCTTCCATTATATTTTCATCTATTTAATTTTAATCAATACAATATGTGCATTTCAATAACATAGTATAATAAAAATAGAAGTCTACACATAAAACTTGTAATTCCTTTTAAATATATACTAAGGATATCATGTATATTTCTTTTTTTCTTTTTTTCCCTCTGCCTACCCACCCTAGAAATGCTATTGTTAGATACAAATGTGTGTATGTATATACTGAATTGTAGAATATAATGGATATAAGATAGTGTCTTCCTATGCATGTCCTTTGTTGTTAATTTTTGGCATTTATAATAAACAAATTTATTTAATCCCTCAAAATTCTTCTTGAAACTATACTGCTACTACTTATACAATCTTCTCTTGGCTCTACTCTTTTCACTTTCATTATTTCTCATAAATCTATCCATTGCAGAACTGCAAACTTGTCAACCTCATTTTCTCCTTCAGAGTCAACAATGTCTGGTAGCAAGAAAAAAGTCAAGATGCCTGTCAATGTCCCAGGATGTAGTGATTCACGTTGGCTCATCTACGGCAGGACAGAAATAAGTAGGAGAGAGTGCTTAGCAGCTTGATCTTCATGAAGAAGAACTCCTAATTCTTGTCAAGTCAGGATTAGTGAAAGAATTCGGTGTGGGCATGCTAGAGAGAAGACAATGTTATTGACAACTGTTTTTATGTATCTGAAAGGCCAAGAAGTCAACCAATCAATCTGCAGGCAATTATTATTTATCTCTTTGGTAATCGATTCTTGGTTAGGTATTGAGTTTATAAAAACAAACAAAAAATCAAACATTCCATGTTTTACAGATGTCACCTTCTCTCTTGGAAACAATATTGGAGACATCTTGGACACAACATATAGGTATATAGGTATATATGTATATATATATATATGAATATATAACATAAATGCTAGATTTTCAAAAGATGATTTTGTGGAGGTAATGTGCCATTTGAGTTGACCTTTAAAGGAAACTAGAGTTCTTCAGATGTGACCTTGAAAAGAGAGTGCATTGTGGTAGTACAGTACAGCACTTACAAAGACTCTGAAATGGGCAGTGAAGTGATATACATATGGAATAGCAATAAGGTCAATGTGTCTAGGCCATAGAGTTTATGAAAGCGGATGATATAGTAAATCTAGAAAGCAGATTTGAGTTGGAATGCAAACGTGTTTAAATTTAAAGTAGAGCTTTTTTTTTTTCCTTTTTGATCCTAAAGTTTAAAATCATTGGAATTACTGAGTAAAATATGACGTGGTAGGATTTTGCTTCAGACAAATCCTATAGTTGTCAGTAAAGACAGATTGGTGCCTGAAAGGAAAACAAAGGTAATGAGTAGAAATTACATTTGGAAAAAATTTAGAATTAATCAGAGCTATTCAAGTCAAAGGTAACCTTATCAGTTCCCACTCATTGCAGGTCTTAAAACAAAAAGCTATGTAATCAATTAACTATTTCTTATAAAGGGATACATATATATATATACATATACATATATAAATATATATACATATATATATTTCAGGTTTTTTATATATGTGTGTGTGTGTGTGTGTGTGTGTATATATATATATATATATATATATCTTTCAGGTTAACATTATAGTATATATCCATTGAGATTTTCCAACTCTGAAATGCTGTAATTTTCTTTAACAGGAACCATGGTGAGTGAAGACAGAAATCAAAGTACTGTGGTCAAATTCATTCTCTTAGGATTATCTGACTACCTCAGATCTTCAAATGCCTTTCTTCCTTCTATTTCTGGTTATCTACTTGGTCACAGTTTTGAGAAATTTGGACATGATTATGATTATCAGGATCAACCCCAAACTCTATATCCCCATATACTTTTTTTCCTCAGTCACTTGTATTTTATGGATTTCTGTTTCTCCACTGGAGTTACACTCAAGTTCTTAGAAAACCTAACTGTGGAAGACAGAATGATTTCCTTTAGAAGCTGCATCATGTGGTATTTTTTTTTTACTGCTACCAGCATGTTGACAGAAGCTTTCTTATTGGCAATAATGGCCTATGACTATTTTGTGGCCATTTGTGATCGACTTTTGTACATGGTTATCATGTCCTGGAAATGATATATGCTGCTGGTGACTTGGGAATATGTAAGGGGAATAATGTCTTACTTCATACTTACCTATTCTGTCATTAGATTTTCTTTTTTGGGATTAACATCATTAATAACTTTTTCTGTGAGTATTCTGTCACCCTCTTTACCTCCTGTTCAGACAGACATTTATGTGCAATGACACTTTTCATCCTTGCTAATTTTAATGTCTTGAGCACCCTTATAATCATTCTCACATCCTATATTTTAATTTTTGTCACCATCATAAAGATGCAGTCAGCCAGTGGGAGGAAGAAAGCCTTTTCCTTCTATGCCTCCCACCTAACTGTCATCTCCATCTTTAATGGGATCCTTCTCTTTCTCTACTGTGCCCTCAGTTTTTTTTTTCACCCAAAGACAAGATTTATTAGAACATCCACCATATTAGCCAGGCTCTTAGGGAATTTGAACATTAGTGAGCATTTGGCTCGATTTTAGGAATTTCAGCCTTTGCCTACATTTTTTGAGTCTGAACATTTGAATAACGGACAGATGGACCTTATATACAAAAAGACTGTGAGAGGGAGGGGAGTGGCCAAGTAGTATGGGATGACTGAAGGAGGGGTTCTAAGGAGGAGTGGCTAGGAAGCTGGGTTGATAGAACACCAGGGAAGGGGCAGCATGGTCCAGGAAAAATGGAGTGTAGATAAGATTAAGGTTGGGAAGTCACAAAGGGCAATTGGAAGGTATTCGAACAGAATTGGGAAATTGGGCGTAGCAACAATGAAAGGCCAGTTAAGTGGATAACAGTCTCAGGCAAATACCAAGAAATTTGGAAAAGTCCAGAGACTTTCCTTTTTGGGGTCCAGGTCCTAAAGACATGGTCTTTTCCTTTTAGGGGTTCATATCCCATCCTCAGTTTTCTACCCTCAATCAAATGGGACCTAAATTCTTTTGGGGTGAGACGCAAAAGTCTTGGCTTCTGAGACTGCTCCCTGATGGCAAGGACATAGCTGCCGCTACCTCAATGGGTTCCAAAGGAGGTTGACTGGAACTGAGCACAGACTGCATCCATGGGGCGATGGGGGAACATTGGCTGGTACCCGCTATTTGCTACCAACTGTAGGTGAATGAACTGTATTCTGGAACAGAAAAATCTGACAGAAAATACTACAGGGCCCAGATATAGGGAGCAATAAAAGTGTAAAAACCCCATTCAAATCATTTACCTTTGACCAGCAGGATATTCTGATCTTGTTACTTTCTTCAAAAGTTTAAGTAATACTTTTGCAGGTGGAAGTTTTCCACTCTGGTTTCAATAGGTACACAAATGATTTCTCAGACACTGTGTGTCCCCAGTTCTAAAACTTCATGGCTCATACTCAAAGTGACTTCTGTTTTTGCACAGTTGTCATTCCCATGTTGAGCCCCCCAATATAAAGTCTAAGGAACAAAGAAGTGAAAGAAGCTGTCAAGAAACCAATGGACACCAAAATATTTTCTTCCTAAAAGTATTTGCTGGTTTGGTGAATCTGTGATAAACTTCTTGGTGACTCCAAAATTTCTGAAAGCTTCAAAATTGTGGACAATGGCTGTTTTGCATTGGAAGCAGTTTAACTATTGGGGGATCTCTATAAAACTAAGAAATTCTAGTTCTCCAAAAGAGAGACAGAGAGACAAAGATAGATAGAGACAGACCAAGATGGAAAAAGGCAGACGTAGAGAGAGACATAGCCACTTAAATGGAGGAGAGATAGAGACGGGGATCTATTTACTTCTCTCTCTCTCTCTCTCTCTCTCTCTCTTTCTCTCTCTGTCTCTATATCTATCTTTCCCTCTCAAAACTTGGTACTCCCTTGCAAAATCTGCTTAATGAATGTGTGCTTAAGGAATTAAAGTTTGACCACTTAATATTCTTAAATTCTCTGTTGTCTTGATTGTCAAAGTGGACATATTTATCCTGTAGCAGTGAAGGAGGGTATGCGATTAACTCTGCTGCATATTTGGACAATTTAGAGCTAATCCAAGCTCCTTCAAAAATTATTACTAGGGAAGTAATGTGCAAACTTTAAGTTTCT